CGGCAAAATTTTTATGCTTTGTTTCAAAGTATCTAGTTAATTTTGCCGGTTTTATTGCCTCATTACTTAATACCTCCGCACAAATTACACATTGAGGTAACTGGACACCAAATTCTTTAACGAATGTAAATCCACATGCTATGTAGTCAGGACTGTACTTACGGTTAGCAGCCTTTCTTTTAGGACCAGTTTGAGTTAATATTGTGCTATCACTGACAATATTACTAGTAGAACATCCTGCTTTAACGTTCTCACTATCCGTCTTCTTAAAAAAACCCCAATGTTTCATCTGTTTGCTCATTTTAGTAAACTACAATCACCAAGCCAAAAAAGACGCACGCTCGTCACTTGACAGATGAGTCAGCACTGAGTCACTGAGTACCTGAGTAGTGGCGCCATCAAAAACGCATTAGTCGCAGTGTCCTGTACGTACACGACAGCGGCCTAAACTAAACGAAGATAATGCAACTAACTATATGGCGCGTGAGGGAAAATACGCGGAAGATTGAGGTGAATGAACCTGTGTTTAGGAGCGCTTGGTCATCTGGAAACGTTTTGAGTTAAAAAGATAGGCCGGCGCATTAATTTATGTCTCAAGAACCAAGATTTAAATTGATTATTTTATGACTGTTCACTTCGCGGACCACATGAAAACCGTTCGCGGACCACAGGTCCGTGGACCACAGGTTGAGAATCACTGATAGTGTATACTATTTATTAGGTTTGTTTAGTCACAGTATTAAGTTTATTTGTTTAGTGCACTTTATTAATACATTTCTCTGTGGTTTGTTTCGGATTTCGAATATAAAGTCTTTTCGTGGATTTCGTTTGGACAAAAATAATTTTGGACATATATGAATCCAATTAATGACTTTAAGTCATAAGGTAATATAATAGAGACTGTGTTTAGGCATTGGAAAAAGTAAAGATAAAAGGGATATTCTGTTACATGATCGACCAACCAGTATTTTAAACATAGGATTAAACAAGAAAGTTAAAATAACAGACAAGTCGTATAACATTAATTTTAAGTCTTCTTGATTTACAGAATTCAATTGGTTGTGTAGTAGCACAGAGTTACAAAAATTGTACTGATGGCCATCTCCTCTTTTCAAATAAATAGTCTTTGTGAAATAGAGTGGGTTTTGTTGGTTTTTTGAATATTAATAGATCGTTGCATAAGCACGCAGATTCTGGAGAGCATTTAAAAAACCAATTAATGTTTAGAAATTTCGAACAAAATCAAAATACGATTGCCGATGCCTTAAGAGAAAACGCTAGATTACATAAACTAAATTTTAATGAAAACGTTCGACTAAATAGGATTTGTTTGCCAACAGTTATTGACGCAGTTTTGTACTTCAGCAAACAAGAGTTGTCTTTTAGGGAACATGATGAGAAAAGTGACTTGAGTAACAGGGGTACTTTTAAAGAGTTATTAAATCTGTTAATTTTTAGAAGCCCTTTGGAAACTAAAAATCATTACGAAAAAATTAAAAATGTTTTTAGAGGAGAATCTAAAACGATTCAAAATGAATTAATTGAGTGCATTTTTGGATATATAAATGGTAATATTATAACTGAAATTAAAAACAGTCCATTTTTTTTCTCCAAATTGATGATACTACTGACATAACACAGATGTCGCAGTTTTCAATAATATTAAGATGCGTAAATTCTCAAGGAATTTTACGACGTAATAGTTCTCTGGTAAGTGCCGGTAGAACAGCTGAGCATTTGTTTACTATTGCTGCGACCGTTTTAGAGCTTTTAGAATACCGACATAAGCTTGTATGAGTGCCGTTTCACATGAGGCGTAGGACACGCTCTACGCCCTACGTCTGAAAATCAGTTGGCATTAATTCAAATATAGCCTTTCAGATGCAGGCGTTTTGTGAGCGGCGCGAAATTTACAGCGCGACCACACGCCTAGCCCGTAGCTAGACGTAGCTACGTCAGGCGTGTTGGCATTACGGTTAATGTACTTTTCACATTAAGCGCCGTGCGCGGCGAGCGACGTCAACGTGGGGTACATGCCACAGTCGTGGGAGGATATTGCTGGTGTTTTAATTCCTAACTTTACAGAATTAACGGGCAAGGAAAAGAAATGCACAGGTACGTAATTATTGTTATGTCTATTTTATTGAAAAATGCATGTTGTAATGATAAAATGCTTATATTTTGTTATCTTGCCAAGGAACTTTTCCATTGCCTACAAAATAATTAGCAAAGGCATCTCGTGTTGTGTTTGTAGTAAAATTCTGTGTTCTTCTTTCTGTGACATCCCGAAATCCATGGACTGTTAAGGTATCTTTAAACTGGAAACCATCTCTTACGCGAACGAAATTGTGTAATATACAGCTGGCCTTAATTATTTTTTTTGAAAGTCGTAAGCTTACATTCAATGGTCTGTGGAAAATTCTCCATTTATTTGACAATATTCCGAAAGTACATTCGATATATCGTCTAGCACGGGTTAATCTGTAATTAAATATCTTCTTTTTGTAATTTAAGTTCTTTCGAGCATAAGGGCGTAATAAATTTTTTGTTAGTGGAAAGACTTCATCACCTACTATGACCTATGGTAGGTCAATTTGACTTTCTTCAGGTAGGGGCTTTTCTGTTAGGATATTTAGCGAACTGTTTTCAAGTTTTTGCCAAAAAGGGCCATTTTTAAATACTGTTGAATCGGAAAACTTTCCATATGCTCCGACATCAATATAAATGAAGCAGTAATTTGCGTCACAAACTGCCATAAGAAGAACCGAAAAGAAATGTTTATAGTTATAGAAAAGAGAACCACTTTTTATTGGCCTCATGATTCTCATGTGTTTGCCATCTACGGCCCCGATGCAATTAGGAAAATTTGCACGTTCTTCAAATTCCTTGGAAATGTTTTCCCATTCTTCTGCAGTCGGAATTTTCATGCATTCATCCTTTAGTAAAGCCCAAATATCGCTACATACTTCTTCCACAATACTGCTTATAGTTGAAATACCCAGCCGATATGTGTAATGTAGGTCCGTAAATGTGTTGCCACTTGCTAAATACCTGAAATAAACGAAAATACTCTATTAAGAAAAATTATATAAAAATATATGTTTTTTTTAAGTAGATAATATGTGGTAGCTAATTATAATTTCCTCTCTTTCAGCCCTGAAGAAACCAAGTCAATTTTCTTTGGCGAAAACCTTTGGCGAAACAATTGATCCTCATTAGAGTCTTTCTTGCAGATTTCCCCAATAGTTAAAAGTTTGATATATATATATATATATATAATATATATATATATATATATATATATATATATATATATATATATATATTAAGGAACACTCAGACGAGTGGTGGGTTTGTTTTCCGTTTTGTTTCGACAATTATGTCATTAACATATAAATTATGTTAATGACATAATGACAAAATGTAAAATTTTGCTAATTTTAAAACACAATTCTCACAAGGTACGTTTTGAAAAAGAGTAAAATAAACTCGAAAGCTTAGCAAACCTAAAAGAGTTTTACTTAAAGGCCAATATATTGACTACTAAACCCAATATATCCGTATATATTACTCACATAGTCACTAAAGCCCTTTTTAAGAATATATCTATATATCTATATATATATATATATATATATATATATATATATATATATATATATATATATATATATATATATAGGTATATTATATATATATATATATATATATATATATATATATATATATATATATATATATAGGTATATTATATATATATATATATATATATATATATATATATATATATATATATATATTTATAATATTTTATATTTATATATTTATATCTTATTAGAAAATGGAAAAGGATAATGCAAGCTAATAACAAAAGTAAAAAGTACTGGCATGTCTCGCAAAACAAAAACCAAAAATGGTATATAGATGGAAGGCAACCGTATATACGCATTTCTGACTATTAATCGTCTTCAGTACGGTGCAGCTAAGTTCGAAAAGGAGCATATTAACTTAAAAAAGGATCACTACAGGAGCAATGCAACCAATTTGCGGCATTAGCGTTAGAAGACCCTGATGGTTTCCAAGGCAACAGCTAACACCAACCACGGAGGAAGGTTGGTACAGCTACCTTTGGAAATTGATCGTTTCCCAAGTTAATATGCTCCTTTTCTAACTTGGCTGCACCGTACTGAAGACGACCAATAGTCAGAAATACGACGACTAATAGCCTTCCATCTATATACCATTTTTGGTTTTTGTTTTGCGAGACATGCCAGTACTTTTTACTTATAAATTAATAGACCATCTTCTTCTTTTTCTTCTGGTAGCACTACAACCCGGGGTGGGTCTTGGCTGACTGCACAACCTGCTTCCATCTCGAACGGTCGTCCATGATGTTTAAGTCAGTGGGTAGCCCCATTGTTCTCAAATCTGACCATTATTATCTTTCCATCGCATTCGTGGACGTCCTAAGGGCCTTCTCCCTGTCGGGACTTCTTCCCAGATTAACTTGGTAAGGCGGTTATTAGGGAGCCTATGAACATGGCCAGCCCATCTTAGACGTTGGGATTTAATCTCTTGGACTACGTCGCTAGCACTATACATTTGTTTGACCTCGGCATTTGTTCTCATTCGGTATTGGTTAGTATTCGGATCGTGATAGGGACCGAATGATGAATAGACCATCAAATAATGTAAAATTGATTTACTTCGAATGTTATTAAGCGAGAGTTTGACAGACAACCAGAAAAACAGCGATGGTATGTAAAAAATATAGGACTACATTTGTATAACATAAGAGGAGTTCGACTTAAGTAAAGAAGAAGGAAAACAGATAAATAAGTATCTTGTTTGATAGATGAGACAAATGTGTCAAAGAGAATAATACTGATTAAATCTAGATAGAAATAAGTAACGTAATTAGAGGTACTTCGAAACCAAATGGAGATAATAGCAAATATATTTATGATCATTATTTTTGTATTAACTTTGTTTTTTTACAGTTGTTTTGGCTATGTCAGTACCACTTCTAGGACAGATAATTTCATTAGTTGGTGTATTTTGTCTATCGGCACTTGGAATAACTTTTCCCGCAATCATTGAAATGTCAGCACACTGGCCTGATCGACTAGGTCCTGGAAGAATTTGCCTGTGGAAAGATCTTTTCATAATTATCTTTGGTATGTATAGTAATAAGACTAAAAATAAAAATAGAGAAACAAATGTAGATGCGCTTGTTTTTTTTAGGTTTATTCGGCCTTATAGTTGGGACATATAGTTGTGTGTATAACATTGTTCAAGAATTAATTGTTATGTATCAAAAGTAGAACAACTGGAAGAGATATTTAGAAGATTTTCGATTTCAACTCTATAATCTAATATTGTCCTTTTATAAAACTTGTATCTTTATAAATTATTATACTCGTACCTATTTTCATACGTGTTTAATTCTACTTTATATTTCTAATTTAGTATTTGCGCTATGGTTATCAGCAAAATAGACAGTATTGTAACGATTTTAAATAAGATGAGCGGTTCTAAATTTTTTTTTAGATCCTTTATTTATTGTAATCTGTTTCCACAAATAAAGAAAAACAATAATCAATAAGTTTATCACTTAATTAACACAGGGAGATCCGTCCAGTGACCAAAATCCTTTAAGATAAATTTCTAATATATATATATATATATATATATATATATATATACCGTAGAACGGGGTGACTTTGTTAATTTTTTTTATATTTTCTTACGTAACTTTTGAATGGGTGATTCCAAAAATGTGGAAAAATGTCCATTGGGATTCATCTTATGTTTATGTAATTTATACTGTTAGTACCTATATATATATATATATATATATATATATATATATATATATATATATATATATATATATATATATATATATCTTTAAATTGAGGATTTTCTCAAAAAAAAAATAAGTAATGGTATATCAAAATCACCCATTGATGTGGGGTCACTTTGATACCCTATTTTAAAATAGCTTGGACGATGCATAAAAGCTGTAATGGTGTCAATGTCAACCCATTTTTAAATCGATCAAGCCAATTTTTAGATATTTCAATTTTAATTTTTGGGGTGACTTTGACAGCTGCTATAGGCACAATAATTAGTATATAATAAATAATTTTACAGGTAGCTAATACTTTATTTAGGTAAAAAACATTTTAGCAAATTAGTAAAACAGTATAAAATAGTAAAAAAAAGCCAAAAGAATGTATTTTGAACGGAAACAAAATCAAAGTTATTTTTCTTTAACATCAACTCTGCCAGGAAATGTACATGTACTTGCTGTTTCATTTGTTTCAACCGATGGGGTCTTCAGAATTGGTAAGATATCATCGAAAGGAGCGTTAAAAACGTCGGTCTCCACAACTTTAAAATGTTTATGGGTCTCATCCAGTGATTTAAGTCCAATGAGTTCGTATTCGTCAAAAGGTAATTTCTCTTGTATCCTTCCGGCATATACGTAATTTTTACATTTTTGTTTACCTGACATAATTTTTACAAGCACGTAAGTTCCAACATTGAATTCAGCAAGGGAGGGTTTTGTATTCATCTCATCTTCATATGATTGGTCCTCCACAGAATCTTCATTTTCAATTTCATTTTCGCTTTCACTATTATAGCTGTTTAACTCGCTATCGGAGGAGCTGTCATCTGCCGTTATATATCGACTTACACTTTTACCAGGTTGGATATGAAGTTTATTTTTACTTTGCCGTTTAGTAACTTCTATCTCGGACTTCTTATTCATCAGATAGTCTGTGAGGCTGTCGTTAATCAGAGGTTCTACATAATCAACATCATGGTTGATTGGTGTAATCTTACTGAAGACTTTATTTGGATCGAAAGGGACCATGCCACAAGCCTCGAACCCATTCTTCAAAACTCTCTTAATGCACTTTTTTCACAATCTCCACATTTGTACTCAGTTTTTGCAATTGTCTGATCCATTAATTCCAAGCATTTTTTAATAACGACGGAAATTGATCTTTAGGCACACCAGTAATTTTTGGGTGTCGCAATTTAAATTCCGTCAAAACTTTTCGCCAAGAGACTTTCATAGGTTTAAAAAAAGACACATCCAAAGGCTGGCATATGTGTGTTGAATTACTGGGAAGGCACGCAAATTCAATATTGTGCAATTCACACAATTCTAAAACATGATCTGAAAAGTGAGACGCCAAGTTGTCGCCGATCATAACTTTTTTACCTTCCAGCCGTCTTGCGTGGGGTAATAATATGGTCTCAAACCAGTCTGTAAAACAAGTTACCTCCATCCACCCATTTTTTGTTCGGTTATATCTAGCTCCTCTTTCGCTACATCCACTACTATAACAAGGAGAGCCCTGTGGACCTCCTAATGTCCATGCATCCCACATATGTTCGCTGCGATATATTATATAAGGAGGGAGTAGTGTACCATCAGCAGCACCGCACATCATTATTGATGTGGCGGCTTTACTATGATTAGTGATTTGTTCTGGATATTTGGTCCCTCTTCTATAAAGCAATCTTCTTTTCCCCGGATCATCACTAACGTTGGTTTCATCGTAATTGAAAACGTGTGATGGAGGGCAATTTGAGAGAGTTGTTCTTAAATTATTGAAATATGATTCTATCGTTTCTTTTTTTACACCTGCCCGAGCTCTAGTAATGTTAGACGCAAGTCGTTCAGAGATTTGCTGACTATGCCTCTCTAAAAAAGTTTTACCCAGTCGTTACCAGGACTTACCCCGTTTTTAAATTTAGAGATAATTCTTCCAGTTCTTTCTAAATAACTCTTAGTGAAAAGTTGTACATCTAGCGTCGATAATGGAAATCCCCAATCTGCACATTTGACAATGCAGGACACGATTGATTTTTAAAAATAATTAACGGTTTGAAGTTTCATTAAGCAAACTATAAAAAGAAATAAAGTATCAAAGTCACCCCGAAAAATGTATCAAAGTGATCCCGGATAAGAAATCATTCAATTTCATGGAGTAGTTACGGAAATAAGTTAGGTTAAATATTTTAAAATAGTGACAACTAGACCTACATTAAGGCAACATACACAAAATTACCTGCAATTCTATTGTAAGAGCTATATGTTTAAATTTAGTAACACAATATAAAATCTTCAAATTCAAACAAAAACTTCAATGGTGAATTTACAACCGTATACTTTTGATATTGGCCACAAACACATTTTGCTATAGTGAATCAAAAATAAAGTTTAGACAACCACCATAACGGACGAAACATTTGGGTTGTATACTCTCTTGAAACAAAATATTCATGTTTTATCAAAGTCACCTTATCGAATCAAAGTAACCCCATTCTACGGTATATATATATATATATATATATATATATATATATATATATATATATATATATATATATATATATATATCGTCCCCTTAATACTACAACTAGGTAACTCGAAATTTTACGATTTTGAGTTATCTACCGTTACCAATATAATTTTTGACGCTCTTTTTAATACTACAACTAGGTAAGTTCTATGCCCATTTTATACATGAGAATCCAATCAAACACTAATAGCTATGACATAAGTTCGAAAAAAAAAATTGTTGCTAAAAGTGGTCATATTGGAATATCTAAATGTGCAACTGACAACGTCAAAAATTTCTGATGCAGCAAGTGTTTAACTTGGCATACCTAATTGTGCTCCCGGGTAACTTGTGTTATGCGTTGCCTCCTCTTCGTCATAGCATACGTTGTGAGTGACATTGTTGCTTTATTTTTCGTAATATTTTTTGAAACAAAAGTAAAAATATCTACAAGAGCCAAATATATATTAAGATTAGTACGTGACCAGTTAACAGAAACAAAAGGTGAGTGTTTAAATACTATTTGGAAAAATAAATTTGTTAAAATCGTGGGAGAGTTTATTTCTATAGGTTAGGTATTTGTCGATTCATTAGTTTTTGAACATAAATATACAATTGATACCGTAGGATACTATTTTTATGTGATAAGAATAATATGCCGAGTATGCATATTATGGGGAACTTATTTAGTAAAACCTATGAAAATAAATTTATAAAACGCTGTTTTTTAAAGAGTTTTAGGTTATCATTATTTACTTTTTTTACCGGTTTAAGACTAATAAACTATTAGACTATTTAAGATTCGTTAAAGTTTTTTAAATAGTTGTTTTTTGTAAAACGTATAGGTATCTTTCATTCAAAATTTAAAAATATAAACATTTCTTTAAACTCAGTTTAAAAAGTACTAAAGTATTTTTTATTTTCAGATGAGAATACTGAGGTCCTTCCATTTACTTCTAAACAATGTTATAACGATTCGGAAACAGACTGTGATCCCCATTCTCCTGATCACTCGGAATATAATCCGGACTCTGATGATTCTTCTGACAATGAACTTGCTCTCGGAAATGGAACTTTTCAAACTATTAACAACGACTTGCATGACATGGAAGAGTTGCCTGTTACGACAGATAAATCAAGAAAGAGGGAAAAAAATGAACAAAACTGGAAAAGAAATATTGCAAAATCAAGAAAACAACGCGGCGAAACATACTTATCTTCTAGGGGTAAATACGTACCAGGAGTAGTCATGAAGGATGCTTGTTTAGCTACCTGTAAACGAAAATGCACAGAAAAATTTTCCTATGAAGAGAGATTGTCGATTTTTCGAAGATATTACCAGTTAGAATCCTACGAAAGAAAACGAGACATTATTAATGACCATACAGAAAAGAAAGATAAAAAATGGCATACTGCAGAACAGTCCAGACGTCAACCATTTTATTCTATTTACCTAAAAATGCGAATAGAATCCAGGTTTGTAAAACCATGTTTATCAATACCTTGGGAATTCGAAAAGAAATTGTAGACATAGCTATGAAAAAGAGAACTGAAGAAAACACGACTTTGGTAGACAATCGGGGAAATATACAAAAAAGACCACGTTACCTGCTATCCTGGCAAGTGTAAAAAACCATATCGAGAAGTTCCCTGTAGTCAGTTCACATTATTGTCGTTCAAAAACACAACGGAAATATTTATCCTCAGACCTTAACGTCACCCTTATGTATCCGTTATACAAGAAAGAATGCGGTGAGAACAATCAAACACCAGCTAACTCTGCCATTTATAGAAAGGTATTTTCAAAGGAATATAATCTTGGCTTTTACCGACCTCGTAAAGACCAGTACTGGGTTTGTATGGCATACAACTCCCCCTTAAGCGATAAAGCATCTACGGAAACCAAATATCTCACTCACATAGCAGCCAAGAACAGAACCCGTGATGAAAAGAGATTAAGTAGACAGTTCTTCAACAAGTTCTTTTGGTACTAAATGACCCAACAAATAACGCTTTATTTTACAAACAAAGACTAAAAGTATTTAACTTCACCATTTATAATACAGTGT